GTCAAATGGGAGTTCCATTTTCAGTTTTTTGAGGAAACTCCACACTGTTCTCCACAGTGGTTGCACCAGTCTGCATTCCCACCAGCAGTGCACGAGGGTTCCTTTTTCTCTGCAACCTCGCCAACACTTGTCGTTTGTTGATTTGTTGATGTTGGCTATTCTGACAGGTGTGAGATGGTACCGCATTGTTGTTTTGATTTGCATCTCTCGGATAATTAGTGATTTTGAGCATGTTTTCATGTGCCTTTTGGCCTTCCTTCTCTCTTCTTTTGAAAACGTTCTATTTAGGTCCATTGCCCATTTTTTTAATTGGATTATTTATCTTCCTTTTATTTAGTTGTATAAGCTGTTTGTAGATGTTGGAGATTAAACCTTTATCAGTGGTATCATTTGCAAATATGTTCTCCAAAAACTATGGTACATCTACACAATGGAATACTATGCTGCCATAAAAAAGAAGGAATTCTCATCATTTGCAGCAACCTGGATGGAATTGGAGAACATCATGCTGAGTGAAATAAGCCAATCAATGAAAGAGAAACACCACATGACCTCACTCATTTGTGGATAATAAAGAGCATTATAAACTGATGAACCAAAAGATAGATATAGAGACAGTATATCAACAAGTAGACTGTCAAATTACAGCGGGGAGGGGAGGAAGATCTGGGGGAGATAATAGATCAACCGAAGGACTTGTATACATGCATATAAGTACAACCAATGGACACAAAACTCTGGGGAGGGAGGGGATGTGTGGGAGGGAGGGAGGGGGGGCAAAAAAAATCAATAAAATATATTAATAAATAAATAAATAAATAAATCCTAAGGGGGGGGAAAAAAAGAATAAAATCTTATATTTTGTTTCAGTGTGATGGACCTGGAGAATATTATGCTAACTGAAATAAGCCAGTCCGAGAAAGACAAATACCATATGGTTTCACTCATATGTGGAATCTAATGAACAAAATAAACAAAATAGAAACCATACTGATAGATACAGAGAACAGACAGCTGTCAGAGGGGTGGGTGGTTGGGTACTGGATGTAAAAGGTGAAAGTATTATGTAAAAGAAAAACAACCTACCTCATAAACACAACAGTATGGTGATTACAGATTACCAGCAGGAAGGGGGTTGAGAGGATGTAGAAGAGACTAAAGGGGGATTATATGGTGATGGAAGGAGACTTGACTTGAACACACAATACAGTATACAGATGATGTATTGTAGAATTATACATTTGGAACAAATTATTAACCAATGTCACTGTAATAAATTCAATAATTTTTTTTTTTTTAAGTTTGAGAAACACTAGTGTATTGCATGAGTAAAGAGGCAAGGTATCTGTCAGCAATCATTTTTATTTATATTTTTGGAAAGGAAACTCCAGGGAATAAACAAATGCACTGATGGCAGAATATTTGAGAAACATTTCCCCAGGTCAAAGTGGTTCCTTCTGAGATTTTGCCACTGTGTACACACTGCTTGGTAAACTTTGTAACTTCACAGCATATCAGAAGGAACTGGTCTGCATCCTCTTCCTGTCTCTTCCCTTGGAGAAGCCTTTAGCTTTTCATGGGGATTTGCTGTTACAGGAAGATAAACTTTACTCTATACCAACCACCATTTTCTCCCTTTTGCTAGGAAAAGCAGTTTGTGTACCTCCTAAATATTTCCTTCATATGTCTTCAAATTAAACTTGTAGTTAGATTAACATAACTGTTTTCACCTAACAGTCAAAATATACCAGCTAAGTACATTTCCTATTCAGAATATTGAAACCATAAGCCTAAGTGACTTTTTTTTAGCACTTTAATTCTCATCTGAACTCTTTTTGACCTTAGAGATATGAAACTAACTAAACAAAACCTTGTCAACAACATTTAAATCCATATACATATATACGTTTTTTAGTAACATGTGCCAATATGGTTGAGTCTTACTAGTAAGACTCTTAAAGCAACAAAAATGTTTAAGCTTAGTTAAACCAAATTAAAATTAAAATAAATTTAGTTGCTAAAAGCTTTCTTTTTTAAAGCAATGTCTTTTGAAGTTTTTTTTTTTTTTTTTTTTTTTTACCATTTGATATTTTAAACTCTATGTGATAATTCTTATACTTGTGATTAGAGTCACCCAATTTTGGAACCTGAGATTTGTATTATAATGTCACCTTCTTGGTATATTTTTAATCAAATAATCTTTTTGGTTTATTAGATAGAAGGGAAAGGTTTGCATTTGATTTTTTTTAGTTAGAGAATCTGTATAGATAATAAAACTAATTGCAAGTAAATCTTGGTAAATCTTATATGAAGAAACCGACTAACTTAATCATTGTGTGCCTACATATCAGGGAGACATATAAGGAGATTGAGTGCCAGGCATACCTTGCTTTATTGTGCTTTGTTTTACTGCACTTCACAGATACTGTGTTTTTATCAACATCTAGGCAGGATCCTCGACCAACACAATGATTACGACTCACTGAAGACACATGATGGTTAGCTTTTTTTAGTAATAAAATATTTTTAGTTAAGGTATGAATATTGGTTTTTTTTTGTTGTTGTTTTTTATATATAATACTACTGCGCACTTAATAGACTAAACATAAGTTTTATATGTCCTGGGAAACCAAAAATGTTGTGTAACTCACTTTATTGTGATATTTGCTTTATTGCCGTGGTCTGGAACCAAACACATAATATCTCAAGGGTTATGCTTGTGTAAACCCTACCCAAATTCTGATCTGACTGCTGAGCTAGGTGTGCATTTGGCAGACTTTAGGAGACTTAGGAAAAAGCAGCAGCTAGAAGTTGGCATACCTGATAGGGAGATTTCAGATACTGCCCGTTCCAAAGGAGAAAAGTTGAAAGTTTTAGTTCAGTGAAGTTTATTGCTCATTTATGATACAAGTCATTCTTGAAAGGAGCAGTAGAGTTTTTACAACATGTCATTTAAAATGTCCATTATATTGTATTATAAAAACTTACTACACAGGTGAAGAAATAGAAAAATGTCAGTTAAGGGAAAAGCAGTCACTATACATTGAACCTGAGATAATCTAAATGTTGAAATGAAAAGGACTTTTTATAAATATATTTAAAGAATTAAAGGAAAATAAAATAATAATAAGTGAACAGAGAATCCCACAGAGAAATGAAATTAGAAAAAAAAAGAACCAAGTGAAAATTCTAGAATTGAAAATATAAGTAAGTGAATAAAAATCATTGATTGACCTTAATTGAAGACAGCAGAAAAAAAGTTGGTGAACTTGAAGACAAATCAATGGAAATTATCCAGTCTGAAGAAGAAATAAAAATGAATAGAGCCTAAATGATCTGTGGCACAATTTCAAACAATCTAACATAAATGTAATTGGTGTCCCAAACAGAAAGAAAGGAGAGATAGAGAATGGGAGAGAAAAGGTAGTTGAATAAATAGTGTCTAAAAATTTCCCAAATTTGATGAAAAATTTAATTTTATGGCTCTAAGAAGCTATTGAATCTCAAACAGGATAAATATAAAAATCCTTCACCTAAGCACATCATGTCAAACTGCTGAAATGCAAAAACAAACCAACAAAAAAAACAATGAAAGGAACTAGAGTCATATATATGGGAACAATACATTTCATTACAAGATTAAACTTTATCATTAAACATTAATTTTAATTTTGAATTTTACTCTAAAAAAGTTATTTTAATATAAAAGTCTTTTATCCTGAAATCTATACATAATAAAAGGAAGATGTTTACATTTGACTTTGATACTGTAAAAATATCCTCATTATTTTTCTGAGGGCACATGTATTCCTACTTTAAAATAGAGAAAAAGTGAAGGCAAAATGTTCTAAGATGAAAATGTATTACTACTGTATACCCCTATACAGTAAGTAGCTATTGGGTGTATAGGATTACTAATGTGTAACTGAGCACACAAGAGAAAAGGAAATTTGCAAGGCATGTTTGAATTCATATTTCTTCATCCTAATATTCAGGATAGGAATTTCATTTCCATATTGGTTTCCATTTTTTAATTAGTTCTAATCAGATTTTACTTTAATATAAGGAAAGCCAAACAAAGAATGATGCCTTGAGGAAAGAAGCATGAAGTAGCAAAATTGACCATGTGTTTGTTTTTCTCTTCCCATAGCTCAGTGTTGCTCATAGAAGCATCTTTTTTTTTAACCATAAAGTATTATTTGCTATCTTAAAAACAAACCTTTCACTTTGGCTGGTATTACTCAGTGATTAGAGTGTCGGCCCAAGCACCGAAATGTCACAGGTTCAATTCCCGGTCAAGGGCATGTACCTGGGTTGCAGGTTCGATCCCCAGCCCCAGTCAGGGTGCATGTGGGAGGCAATCAATTGATGTGTCTCTCTCACCTCTATATTTCTTTCTCTCCTCCTCCCTGCCCCCTTCCACACTCTCTAGAAACCAATGGAATAAAATATTCTGAGGATTAAAAAAAAAAAATGAACCTTTTATAAAGATGATAATATAATTGAGCACCAAAGCCTTGACTGGTTGTGTGACTTTATGCAAACTACCTTTCTAAGCTTCAGTTTCCTCATATAACATTTACCTTCTAGGTCTATTATGAAGAGTAAATCAGAGAGCAGGTAAAGCCAGGCACAGTTTAGGGTCTCCATAACACTGGTTCTCTCTTGTACCTTTCTCTCCCTTTAAAAAGCAACTTTTAAAGTCAGAAACAAAAAGTTAAGTTTTTTGACATATAGAAGGTAGGTATCATATAATTTTATTAGAATTGAATATTTTTAAAAATATTGTTTTCTGATTATAAATGTATCTCAGAGGATTTGGGAGATACAGAAAAGCATAAATAAAATAAAAAATATTTCTAATCTCATTTTCAAGAGTTTATTATTAGAAATTTGGTATTTGTTGTTCCAGTCTTTTTATTATATTTTATCCCTCTTCAAAAACAGAAAAAGCCTTTCCCAAGTGTTCTCTGCCCAGCTACCATCACTCCCTTTCACAGGTTTCACAGCCAGAATTCGTAAAGCCTTCCTCTCACTCTTGGACCTGTTTCTTTCTAAGAAATTTCTTCTCCACAGATACATCAAGGTCTTCCCAGCCAGTAAGTCCAACACATACTTTGCATCCTTTTCTTTTTTAAATCTCTAGTATTATGTACTACAAACCACTTCTTCATGAAGTGTCTTTCTCCTAAAGCTTCTGATTTTCCTCTTCTTTGGTCATTTCTTTCTTTTTTATAGGATTCTTCATGTCAATTTATTTGTATAAGTTCATCATGAATTCTTTTATCTTAATGATTTCAACCATTTCCATCTCTCTATGTTGATGATTTCAAAATCTGTGTCTTCAGACTTCAGTAGGCCTATACATCGACATGTTACTTTTTGTATGTTTCTGAGGTATCCCAAAAGCAATGTATTTTAAATTGACTTCAACCCATCATTTCACTCCATTCCCCAAACAAAAGTTTGTGCCTTTCTCTGCCTACCCTACCATCCATTTGCTCAAATTGAATTGAATTCTGCATTGATTCCTTGCTCAACCACTGTATCCAATTATTTTATTATCCCAAAAACCTAATATGTCTTGACTCCCTTGAGATCTCTCCTACTTTATTTCCTCATTTATTTCCATTTGCTATAACTGTATATTTAAGATATGTAGTCCTATGCTTTGTTCATTGCTATATCCTCCAGGCCTAGAAGTTTGCCTGGCAAATAGAAAGCATTTAATAAATATTGTTTAATAAAAAATTCCCAATCTTACACCAGTCTAAAATTTCTTGCCTAGATTGCTGGGCCAACACTTAACCAGTTGTTCTGTACATAGTTATGTTATTCTAATTAATTGCGCACTTTGCAAGCAGGGTTAATTTTCTAAAATTTAATTATGCCACACTGATTTAAAACTCATTAATGATTTGTCCTCCTAGCCATTAGAATAAAGTCCTAGTGTCCTATCTTAACTTAACTGGAACTGAAATCCGTTTAATTTTTCAGTTTTATCTCCTACCATCACCCTTTTCAAACTCTGAGTTCTGATTACATGGAACTTTATTATTTACCCGAAGATTTCATGCTTTCTTCCCTCTGGACTTTGCACATGTGTTGATTGTTTTCCATGGAACACTTTTAATTTCTCTTTTGTTGGGCTGATTCCCAATCCTTAAGGCCTCAGTTAAAAAGGATGGTTTTGGAGAATTTTTTATTACTTTTTTTTTTTGTCAATCCTCTCCCAAGGATATTTTTTAGAAAGAGTGAAAAGGTGGAGGGGAAGGGGGAGAGAAAGAGAGAGAAACATCTAGGTGAGAGAGATACATTGTTGGTTGGGACTCCCACATCTGCTCCTGACTGAGGCAGGGGCTTGTTGAAACTGCAACCCAGGTACCTGCCCTTGACCAGGAACCAAACCCTTGGACCTTCTATCGAGGGCTAGTGCTCTAACCACAGGGCTCTTTTGACTATGCCCTTGCGGTACCCTGTATTACTCTCTACAGAAGTCTCCCTTTATCTGTAATTTTGCCTTCCATGGTTCTGGTTACCTGGGGTAAACCGTGGTCCAAAATATTAAATGCAAAATTCCAGAAATAGACGATTCTTATTTCACACCCTTCTGAGTAATGTGATGAAATCTTGCACTATTCTTCATCCTGCCTGGGACATCAATCACCCCTTTGTCCAACATATTCACCCTGTATTATCCTATCTGCTTGCTAATCATTTATTAGCCATTTCATTATCAGATCAATTGTCTTGGTATAGCAATGCTCATGTTCAAATAAACCTTATTTTTTGTTATAAGCATTCTATTTTATTATTAGTGTTTGTTTATAACTTAAATTCTAAATTCATTTATAAATTAAACTTTATCATAGGTATATATGTATGTGTGAGAAAAAAAATAGTATATATAGGTTTCGGTATTATGCGAGGTTTCAGTATATACCCACAGAAAGTCTTGGAATATATTCCCCACGGATAAGGAAGGACTCCTGTAGTTATCCAATTTAATGTACTTGCTTGTTTTATTTCCTGGCTTTACTTCTAGAATGTAGCTCCTTGAGCACAAGTAATGTCTCTATTTGATTTCCTCTATAACTCAGCATCTGGCATATGATAGATGCTCAAGGCTTTTGAAACAAAGAATGAGACACACACATACACACACATGAACATGTGTGCAGTCAATTTTTATTATACATGGATTCTATATTTACGAATTTACCTACTCACTAAAATTAATTTGTAATTCCAAAGTCAACACTTACAGCACTTTCATGGCCATTTGTGCACATGTGTAGACGTGAAAATTTTGAATTGCCTGACATGAGCATTTCAAGTGGAGGCAAAATAAGGCAAGAACTTGCTGTAGTTCTCATGCTGTAAACCTGTCCTTTTTGTGGTAGACTTAGTGCCACTTTTCCCCACATTTTGTGCTTTTTGTGGTGATTTTGCTATTTAAAATGCTCCCCTCCTCCCTCCCCCGCCCCATCACCAGTGCACAGTGCGTAAGTGTTGGCCAGTGTTCCTGAGCACAAGAAGGCCGGGATGTGATATGTTTTATGGAGAAAAGCTTTTTTCAGACATAAGTTGGCCTGATCCCCGTGAGGTCTGTCGGCCTGGCCTGGGGGGTTCGGGCTAAAGCCGGATCTCTTACATCCCCTGAGGGGTCCCGGATTGCGAGAGGGCACAGGCCAGGCCAAGGGACCCCACGGGTGCATGAATCTGTGCATCGGGCCTTCAATTTAAAGTAATGACTCTCTATCTCATCTGTTATAATATTAAAAAAAAGAAATGTCTCTTTTTGTATGTTCATATGAACATGGAAACAGGTCTAGCTAATACACATTTTATATCAGGCTACGTTGATTACCTAGGGCAGTGTTTCCCAAAGTGTGGTACGTGTACCCCCAAAGGTACGGGAAGAGTTCGGTGGGGGTACGTGTTGCACCGGAGTTTGGTGGGGATATGCACTGCACCGTGCTTAGCTGCGCCTAATTCTACGTTCTCATTAGTACGAGGGGTACTCAGCGTTACGAAAATTATAGCAGGGGTACACATTGGTCAAAAGTTTGGGAAACACTGACCTAGGGGATGAGTATATTTTTTCTTAATTTATCTTTGTATTGTCTCACTGGTTGCAGTGAATATGTTTGTTTGTTTTTGCAAATACTCTTATAAAACATGATTTTTAATGGTTGCATTATATTTCCTTTTGTGAAAGGAATAAAGTTTTGACTAATTATGAACTTGAATTTTCCCATGTTTCAGACAGTCAACGTCTACAGTTGGATCTACAGAAAATGGAGCTTCTGGAAAGTAAGATGACTGAGGAGCAACATTCTCTAAAAAGCAAAATTAAACAAATGATGGTTGATCTGGAGACATTTAATGATTTGCCAGCTTTAAAAGCATCAGGTGAAGAAAAGAAAAAGGTAAACAGTATTATAAAATTATTCAAGTTGTTTTTTCTTTATCAAACCTAATATATGTTATTTTTAGTTGGTTATTTGATGTGCATTAAGAAAAAAGAAAGATGTTTACACATATAGTAGGAGATTAGAGGGATTTAAGTTTTTTTATTTTTAAATATATATTCTTAATTGATTTCAGAGAGGAAGGGAGAGGGAGAGATAAAAACATCAATAATGAGAGAGAGTCATTGATCAGATGCCTCCTGCACTCCCCTTACTGGGAATCAAGCCCGCAACCCGGGCATGTACCCTGACTAGGAATTGAACTGTGACCTCCTAGTTCATTGGTCAATGTTTAGTCACTGAGCCAAACCAGCCTGGCTGGTGTGATTTAAGTTTTAAACCAAAGATACAAATTGAAAAACAAGGGATAGAGCATTTCAACAAATATGAGCTTTGTTAAATGCAGATTTGATTATGATATTTCCCTGTTTAAGACTTGTCAGTGGCTTTTTATTGCATTTACATTAACATAAATTTGGTGGGGCAGAAATAGATAGGGAAGCCTTAAGAGAGTTATTAAAATAGTTAATATTTATTTAGCTTGTTATAGTTCAAAGGATGTTTTTACAAATAGTTTTAGAGTAATTATAGCCTTGGTAGAATTTTGTCAGAATATCATTGAAAGTATTTGTCAAACTCAATTTATATTGACTTACTAGATATTGCTAAAGCCTGTTATTTACTTCTATCTGGATCTATCTAGAAATTACATCAGGAGAGAGCAGTATTATCAACTCGCAGGAATGCCTTTAAGAAAATAGCGGAGAAGCTAAACACAGAATATGAGATGCTAAAAACACACCTGCAAGAAAATGAGACACATTCTCAGGTAAAAAGAAAAAAACAAAATTTACAATTAATTTTAATTGTAGACTAGCTGTCCTGTTCTCTTCATATTCTCACCTCAAAATGACCCTTTCCTTTTTCCCCCACCTGTTTTATTTACCTTCCAAATTTTATAGCTTTGTAGATAGCCAGATAATCTCCACTCTGAGTGAATTTACTTCTGCTCTTCTGTCTTCTATAAAGCTATATTGAAGGCCTTCTTTATGCTAGGCACTGTTCAGGGCACAGCTGTTAGGATAATACAATAGTTTTATTTTTATTTTTATTTCATAGAGGAAGGGAAAGGGAGAGTAAGATAGAAACATCAACGATGAGCTGCCTCCTGCACATCCCCTATTGGGGACGAAGCCCATGTGCCCTGACCAAGAATTAAACTTTGACCTCCTCGTTCATAGGTCAATGCTCAACCACTCAGCCTCACCAGCCGGTCAGGATAATTTAAAAATTTTTAAAAAGTAAAGCATTTTTAATGCAGAAACTTTGCTAACTCATAAAATCTATAAATAAAGAAAATAAAAGCTGATGACTAATATTCCACCATCCAGAAGAGGTAATTCTTGTCATTTTTATGTGGGTCCTTTTAATCTATATGTATACTAGAGGCCCGGTACACGAAATTTGTTCACAGGGGAGGGTCCCTCAGCCCAGCCTGCACCCTCTCCAATCCAGGACCCCTGGGACATCCCTCTCATAATCCAGGACTGCTGGTTCCTAACCACTTACCTTTCTGCATACCTGATTGCCCCTAACCACTCTGCCTGCTAGCCTGATTGCCCCTAAGCCCTCTGCCTGCTGGCCTGATCACTCATAACCACATTTCCCTGCTGGCCTGATCACCTCTAGAAGAAAGCATAAGTGACATTAGTCTTGACAAGGATTTTTTGATATGACACCAAAAGCACAAGCCACAAAGCAGAAATAAGTGACCTACATCAAACTAGAAAGCTTCTGTTCCTTTTGCAATCAACAAAATAAAAAATGAAACTTGTGGAGTGGGATAAAATATTTGCAGATCATATATCTGATAAGGGATTAATATCTAGAATATATTGTATAAGGAACTTATACTAGATGTTTTAAATAAGTTGTGGAAAAAAACAGAATTGTGCTTCATGATAGACTTGGAGATTTAAAGGCAAATCTCAAATATAGATGTATAATATGGGGGGAAATTGACCATCTGGCACAGTGTTGCTTTATAGCATTATTCATGTAGCACTTACGAGGTCTGCTGCTTTATAAGAAGGCCACTACTTTGTGTAAAACAAAGAGGGAAAAGTTTAGTACTTGACTTTGCAAAAGGTTATTAGATTTATTGTCAGAAAGTGCTGACTGCTTCCTTAAGTCCACCTTCACTTCAAGGTCCTGTCTGAGGAGCGAGGTCTGATTTAGTAGTGTTAACTCACAGCACATAAGGTTCACATAATTTATTAGTTATGACTCATCTTAATATCTAGATTTATCTTTTTGGAGGAAACAATAGGATGGATACTACATTAAGTCTGAACTTATGGCCCGAAAACAACTTTTATCATGAGAGTACAAAGAAATGTTACTAAAGCTGCTTTAATTATCAGACTTTTAAAAATGATTATTACTTCTTGGAAATGTCTGGGCAGAATATTTTGTGTTTTATTTTTCAGAAGGCACTTTGCTTAGAAAAAAAACATAAACTATGTGTATCTTAAAAAAGAAAGACTGTAACCCAGAGTTACAAGGTTAATTAAATCAGAAAAACAATTTAATTCTATAACAGTAAAATTGTCTTCTGAGGAAGCAACCGTCAATATAATATCCACATTAGCTTCCTGTTGATGCAGAAATTGTTGTAACAGTGCCAGGGTTTCACCAGCCCTCTTATAATCTTCACACTGCAGCTCTGCTCTTATCACGGCTTGTAGAACTAGACAGGAAGTGAGCCCTGGAAATAAGGAAGCCTTTCCTATATAGCTGAACCTTAGGCAGTGTTAGAATATACGTTACATTGATGGCGTTAGACTTCCAGATTTTAAGGAGACATTCCCATCATGTCTCATTCTTTTTTAAGTTCTTTTAGGAAAGGTATAAATACTAAATTGTCTTTCGGTTGACATGTTCATTGGTATAATAAGTATTTTAAATATATCCCTGCTAAAATAAACATAGACTAACCCTATTGTTGAAGGCAACGTTGTATTTATTAATATATTTACTATTATTTAATATTCTCTAAATTTCTTTTTTGTCTATAGCTTTATCTCATGCAAAGAGCTGATAAGATTTAAAGTTGTGTTATTGGTGTGTTTTTTCCTTATCCTCTTAAAAGTGTGTATAATAATTTTTGTGAATAGGAATTCTGGTTAACATTTTTCTTTTGTGTTTTTAGCTTACAAATTTGGAAAGGAAGTGGCAACACCATGAACAAAATAATTTTGTGATGAAAGAATGTATCCTTTAAAAGGCTGCAAATGAACTTGATCTAGTGATTTTTTTTTTCCTAGAAATTTATTTACAGACTGAAATGAAATAATACAACACACATTTTTTTTTCAGGTACCTAATGTGTACAAAACACTGAGCTAAACTATGTGGGAATAGAAGAATAAAACTTAGTTTCCATTCTACAATAGTTAGGGGGTGTGTGTGTATGTAGCAAAGTAACTTAAAATCAGTGTGGCATAGTGACTTAAGTGTACAGGATGTTGAGTCAGTAGATAGGCTAATTTTAAATGCTGTGGACTTTGGACAATTTACTTTGTTTAACCCTCAATTTTATCATCTCAAATGTAGTTAATAGTTCCTTTTAGAGAGTTGATGGGAGAATTATATATACCCATATGTGTGTGTCGGGTGGGATGTTTATCATTGTTTATACTGCTGTACCTGTATATCTGTGCAGCAAAGGAGATAAACTAAGTAGTCGTATGAGAGTTTTGACCTTCAATCTCATTTGTTTCAACTTCATCTTATTTCTACCAAAATGGTACCTATGTCCCTGCTTCTTGCTTATCTTTTTGAATGCCTATAAGAGGAAGCAGCTGCTGAGGACATGCATTGTAGAGTTGTAAGAAACATTTCCCCAAAGTAGTTTTCTATGCCCTGTCTCCTTTCAAGGACATCTCTGCTTGGAGGATTAAATCCTGATTCCAGGGCAGCATGGACCACAGCTTACTTCCAGATGAGATGCATCAGGGGCTCTATTCCCGGTGGCCATGCAACTTAGTTTTAAAGCAAAAGACTCCCATTCACAATATGCTGATGTACAGCACTCTAGTTCTGTGCAGCATCAAGTGAAGTCTGGAGACTGGTCTGGAATTCTTTGTGGTACTCTAGAACAGCGTTTTTCAACCGCTGTTCCGCGGCACACGAGATGTTGCCTGGTGTGCCATAGGTGCAGACAAGACAAGAATTTTATAATTTTTCACTATTTTGTTTACTTAATACTTCATAATAAAGTAATTATAAAATACTTTATTTGTGTTTATTTGATTCCTATTCAAGAGAATTACTTTATATATAGTCAATATAGGCACAGAGTTAAATTTTTTTAACATTTTCTAATGGTGGTGTGCCTCGTGATTTTTTTCATGAAACAAGTGTGCCTTTGCCCAAAAAAGGTTGAAAAACACTGCTCTAGAAAACATGGTTATTTTGAACATTTGATAGTTCTAAGACCAGAATTTGATTGAGATGCATAACATTAACTATAAAAAAGCTTTCTATTTTAAGAGAACTTTTTTGAAACCAGTTCTGCTTGGCCTTTTATGTTTCAATTGATGCTTAATTTGTTTAAATAATATGTTTGGTGTTTTTTTTTTAAATAGCTTAATTGTGCTTTTCCTGTCCCATCTTATTTATCAATAAGGAAAATACTAATATTTGGTTCCTTTCTGACCCACAATTATATTACTACTAGAGGCCCAGTGCATGAAAATTGTGCACTGGGGGGGGGAGAGGGGAGTGTCCCTCAGCCCAGCCTGCACCCTTTCCAATCTGAAACCCCTCACATTCCGGGACTGCTGGCTCCCAACTGCTCGCCTGTCTGCCTTCTGATTGTCCCTCACCACTTCTGCCTGCCAGCCTGATCACCCCCTAACCACTCCCCTGCCAGCCTGATGGATGTCTAACTGCCCTCTCCTGCAGCCTGGTCATCCCTAACTGCCCTCCCCTGCAGGCCTGATTGCCCACAACTGCCCTCCCCTCCCTGCCATCTTGTGGTGGCCATCTTGTGATGACATGACGGTGGCCATCTTGTATGAGGGTGTGATGGTCAATTTGTATATTACCTCTTTATTATATAGGACTAGAGACTCGGTACAAGAAATCTGTGCACTGGTGGGGGCAGGGGAGGGTAGGAAGGGGCGTTGTCCCTCAGCCCGGTCTGCTCCCTCTTGCAATCTGGGACCCCCTTGGGAGATGTCTGACTGCGGTTTAGGCCCCCGGATGGTGAAAGGGATGTAGCAGTGCTCCAAGAGGCGGAAGACCAGGGAGGATCCAGAACCGGGGCCAGGCGCCAATCCTGGCCCACTACACCTGCTGCTGCCACTCTGTAGTGCTGTGCGAAGTCTGAGAGGCTCCTGCCGCCACAGCTGCACTTGCTAGCTGTGAGCCTGGCTTCTGGCTGAGCAGCGCTCCCCTGTGGGAGCGCACTGACCACCAGGGGGCAGCTCCTGCATTGAGCGTCTGCCCCCTCATAGTCAGTGCACATCATAGTGACTGGTCAGCCTGTTCCAGTGGTTCCACCATAACAAATCTTATATATAGATATAGATTTTTATTGGTAGTGTTCGCCCTTAACTCATGTAATTAGTCATAGCAACCAAGAGTCAAGAGAGTGATTACCAGACAGTTATGAAGAATGTGAACAAGCAGATTGCAGAGTACAATAAAACCATCATGGATGCTCTGCGTAGCATGAGCAGAAACTGAGTCTGAACCAACTGCACGTCTCTACAGAAGTATCCTGTTGCTATGAAACTTTAAACAAGCTGACTGAAAAATAAAAAAGCTTACCCTTGAAGAATCTTACCTAAGATGTTTGAATGCTATACTTTTTATGGCCTCTTTGAAGAGTGATGTTTTAAATAGTAGGATAATTCAGTAATTAATTGTGCTTTTCCTGTCCCATCTTATTTATCAATAAGGAAAATATTAATATTATTTGGTTCATAAACAGTTTGCATTTAAATACTATCATCTCTGCCCTAGCCAGTAGTAGCTTGGTTCCAGCATTGTCCCCATACATCAAAGTTGTGGATTCGATCTCCAGTCTGGGCACTTGTAAGAAACAACTATTGAATCCATGGAAAATCGATGTCTCTTCTCCCCTCTCTCTCAAATCAATAAAATTTATTTTAAAGTATCTCCTTTTATGATATTTTTGTTTTGTGTGGGTGATGAGATAAACTAAAAGTGGTTATTGAGAGTCATTTAGATGGTATAATTCATCTATGGCAGAAATTTTCAACCATCTTTTTCATCTCATGGCACACAAACTACTAAAATTCTGTGGCATGCATGCGCATGTGCACACACACACACAACACCCAAAAAAAACATATTATTTTGCTTATGTGACAAAAAATAGGTATAATTTGATTGACTTTCAGAAAAATAATAATGGTAATTACCTAACCTTTTTGCTCCAAACCGACTTTTTAAAAAATCAGGTGCCTATACTTGTATATAAGGATTTCTTTTTTGTTGTTAAGTTTAATTAATTAATTAATTAATTACTTTTATGAATTTATTTTATTGTTTAAAGTATTACAAATAGTAGTACGTATGTCTTCTTCCCCTCCCACCCCCAATGACCTCCCCTGGCCTTCTCTACTCCCCTTCTCCTCCCACCCCCACTCACCCCAGCACATGCAGGAGTTAACCAATAAGGTACAAACATATGCAACCTGATCAATAAGATACAACTCTTATATAACCTATACATTTATGGTTAAAGACAGAGCATGCACACCTGATGGCTAGTGTTGTGTTGGCTGTTGCTATTTTTTTATTTTCACAGTCTAAGGGAAAAGAAGTCAGTGCCCCTGACTAAATAGTCAGGTATTGCAAATAAATTTTAAGAATTCTTGCAGCACCCCAGTTAAAAATAGCTGCTCTATGGTAGTAAATGAAATCTTTTCATATGTCAACTCTAGAGGGATGCATGGAGTGTGATTCTGATTCAGCACTTATATCAACCTTGTCAATTTTTGCTTCTAAAAAAAGATGATAAAATTAAAAAGAGGTGTTTAGCTTTGCGCAGTGCTTAAATACAGTATATTTGATGTGTTTTAAGGCATATAAAAGCACAGGAATATGTATAACACATATTCTTTATAAATCAGTTATTCCTAAAGATTTAAATTTAATACATTTAACCTCTGCACTTTAAATATATTTCCTTACATGTATATGTTGGGAAAAAATATGAAGTTTAATGATGTCTAAAGAAAAGATGAAGGACAGTGTAACGGCAATTAACCACCAAGAAAACCACAGGCCCACTCTCCCCATTCCATCTGAGCAGTCTTCATTTTCCACAGCAGTAAATGTTCTAGATACGTCTTGCAGACATCAAAGTGTAGTGCCCATTCAAAGGCAATTGATGTTAAGGCTCTGTAAATGATACTATTTTTTTTTTGGTCCTTTTGAAATATATAAGTTGTGCTATAAGAAATCATCCTGTCAAGTGTAACCATGGACCGCAGAGTTGTACTTCTGGAATCAAGAAAGTAATGTATATTTAAATCAGTTCCCGTCATAACAGGTAGAGCACATCTAGCTCAACTGTGAAAAGACACAGAATCACCTTGCTGCTGGTTACATAGCCTGGGGCTCTTTCTTCTCCCCCACATCCCCCCACTACCACCACCACCACCACTCCCTCCCTCCCACTGCCTCCCTGCCACAGCTTTCTAGCTTGGGGTGGCTTGTTAGAGTAGATGTGAAGGTTTCAGGTCACTGCCTGTGGGACTACTGCTGGGTATGGTGATGTTTCGTTTGCATCCCCGGTTTCTTAATTTTTAAGTCTTAAATTAGGCCCTTCCACTTCCAAGCTATCATCCTTTCCCCAGTCTCTACTACCACCGTGGCTGAAGCATAGATTGTAACCCACTCTGCTCCCCTTTAGAAATTCAGGGGTTTCCTGTGTCCTTCTCCCTCCTACCCCATTATATCACAGGGTGCTGCTTTCTCTTTCCCCCTCCCCAAGTCCCTTTCTTGCACCATCAACACCCAACACTTTCCATGACACTCCCTTGCTTTGGGCAGAAGCCAGCAGGTAAAGTTGGAAAGAGTCTGACTTCCCTCAGCTACTTTTGGAATCACATTCATTTACTCTCCACCAGCCCAGGAAATAAATGGATCCATAGCCTGGCCACCCTCTGCTGTCATCATCAGCTGACATGTTTTTTTATTTTAGCTCAGGAAGACCACAGAAGACACTTGTAAGCACACACACTGCCTGTGAATGAATTGTTTTGTGTGTTCCTATCATTGCTTTTGCTTTTACAAATTGAAGTTTGAAACAGGGCTCTCAGGTGGTCATCTTTGCAGTCCATTTGGGTCTACTTTGGAATCTGACAACTGGCACAAAGAGAATGTGGAATTCGGTGCAGACTTCGGTTTCGGTGCTGCAGCTTCTCACGGTCCTCAGCGGGGATGAAGAAAGAACACGGTGTGCACGGCAAAACCCCGGAATTGGCGGACTTGACTTCCTGGCAAATTGCTGCACTTTTCCACTTTTCTGTTCAGGACCACTAGTTGCTGAGATGTGGATGCATACTGAAATAAAAGCAGCTCATTCTGTTAAAAATAAATAAAGGTAAATTGTTTTCTTTCTTCTTGCCTACTCAGAGCTCTTAATTTGCAAATGTGCAATAAGTTAAAAAAAAAAGTGCATATTAATACTAGACTATAAAATAAGGATTTTTTCCAGAGTGGTAGGGTTGTGGGGTTTTAATTTTTCTTGGACTTCTTGGTACTTTCATAATTATCTATGATGTACATAATTTCACTTAGAAATGCAATAAAAATTCAAATAAGTTAGCACTTTAACTGGTGGAAAGGAGATATGATAGTAAGACAACTGTCTAGACATTGAACTAGAACTGAACCAGTCTTCACCCAGAAAAACAACAACAGGAGAGAGATAGTCTATCCTTTAAATATACATTATGTGCTTCCATTTTAGCAATGAGCAGTTTGGCAGAGAAAAAAAAATTATTGAAAAAAAAGCAAGGTTTCCAACTTCCGTTCTAAATTACTCATGTGTGATATTTGGGGAACATAATTGAGCAGGATTTCTTTAAACTAAAGCATGTGTTATCTGAGGGAAATTCTCACTAATGTCTCTTCCTTCCTCTCAGAGCTTTTCAACAAATCAAACAAGAATATTCTCTCTGCTAGGATAGAACTGGAGGCTACTATCTGCATGACCTGGCTCTTCCTTAGTCAGCCACGTTGCTCAGTGAGTTCCACTCCTGTTAAAATAACACCTTGTAAGTCATGTGAAAAGAAGCTGCAGACTGAACAAACATGCTGAGTAGTTGTTATTTTTTTTTAAAGATCAACATGGAAAAGTTAGCAAGTCGTGCTTTTCCCATCCTTATCCTTTATCAATAAATAAACATGAGTTCTTGATACTTTTTCACTAACCAGGGAGTCTCTAATTTGGATATTCTGGTTTCATGTTAAAGTGTAAATTTTACCATGGCCAGTGTTACTCAGTGGTAAGAGCATCAGCTCTTGCACCCAAGAGTTCTGGGTTCAATTCTCGGTCAAGGTCATCTATCTGGGTTGCAGGTTCCATCCCCAGCCCTAGTCAGAGCACATGTGCGAGGCAACCAATCCATGTGTCTCACACCAATGTTTCTCTCTTTCCCTCTCTCCACCTTCTACTCTCCCTTAAAATCAATGGAAAAATATCCTTTGTTGAGGATTAACAAACAAAAAATAAATAACTATAGTATAAATTTCAGTTCAGGGTTACGGGATTAGGGAATGGAGCAATGCCATTCACACTGGAAAAGAAACAGCAGTTACTAGTGCTCCAGAGGTAGGTGCTGTCTCCCTGTTCAATTTCCCTGTCACTCTTTTGCTGCATGAGACCAGCATAAACAACCTTTGCCAATAAGAGTATTTAGATGGAATTAAGTAAGATGAAATCAAGATGGACTTCGTACCAAAGTATTATAGTGATATATTTTGTTTTCAAATAAATTTTTATTTTCCAAGTACAGTTGACATAAAATGCCAGTTTCAAGTGTACAACCCAGTGACCCAACATTTATGTAACTTATATAAATGATCACCTGATACATCTAGTACCCATCTGACAACATACACAGTTATCACAATATTATTGACTATATTCCCTACACTGTACTTTATGTCCTTATGACTATTCTGTAACTACCAATTTGTATTTTTTAATCTCTTCACCTTTTCATCCAGCCCTCAAATCCTCCTTCCATCTGGAAACCACCAAAATGTTCTCTGTATCTGTGAGTCTGTTTCTGTTCTGCTTGTTCATTTATTTTGTTTTTTAGATTCCACATGTTAGTAATATCTTCTGGCATTATTTGTTTTACTTATTTCACTGAGCACAATACCCCTTAGGTCCATCCATGTTGTTGCAGATTGCAAGATTTCACTATTTATTTTTTTATGGCTAAGTCATAATCCATATATGTACCACTTCTTTATTCATTCATCTAGTGATGGGCACTTAGGTTGCGTCCATATTTTAGCTATTGTAAGTAATGCTGCAATGAACATATGGATGACTATGTCTTTTTTATTTATTGTTTTGGGTTTTTTTCAGAAAATTATCCAGAAGTGGAATTGTTCGGTCCTTCTTTATCTTTTGCTGTATAACTTTATTTTAAAGTCTATTTTATCTGGTATAAATATGCTATTCCAGTTTGTTTTGCTTTTCATTTCCATAAAATATATTTTCCATCCCTTTACTTTCAGTTTGTATGTATATTTCACCGAAGTGAGTCTCTTGTAGACACCATATGTAAGGGTCTTGTTATCCATTCAGCCACCATATGTCTTTCGATTGAATATTTAATCAATATGCATTTACTTATTATTG